TTCTCGCGTAAGTATACAAAAGCACACAAAATTCAGTGACAATCGCAGCAGCCCTTCTTCTGATAGCAAGAAAATTGTAAAAAGTGTTTCAGCTCACGATTTAATCATACACAGCGGCTATAATTATTTGACGATTTTCAGGCAACTGCTATGCTGTTGCTGGGCACCCTGCTAAATGCGGCTGGATTGTTGATTCACAGTATTGACCGAATGTTGGCCATCACTGTGCCGGTTTATTATTACAACAATAGTTTTAAAATTATGAAGCGCTTACTATATTTATTATATGCAATTGCCGTTACGCCGACGCTCACAATGTGTGGTTATACACTAACGCAGCCGTCGAGAAATATCAGCATTCAGTGCAAGTAAATTGTTTTTATCACTGCTGTAACCACGAAGTTGTTCAGGAACTTTGCTGCATTGAACAGTGATGTTGTAACAAGAGAAAAACTGCCTGTGTGACGATTACGAAAATCACTCAAAATTCTTCACATTGCAAAACTAGCTCTCTTTTTGCTCTGAAAATTAGTAGCAGCTTTGAAAAGATGCAGAGTAAATTGAGTTCCACGAAAAGAAGTAAAATATGATGGGCGGAAAATAGCATTCATACTCACACCTGAAGACGTCACATGTGCTCGCAAGAAAGTATCACTGCAAGAAAATGAACATGGAACATTTTAACATATTTTTCCATGATTGCAGAATATCACATGCTTTCAATTTTCAAATCTATGCGATAATATTGGGCATAAGGACACTCTACACCTCTCTCAGTATTATTTTTATTCTTGCAGTTGTGTGCAGTATGAAAAGGTAGGCCGTTTTCCACGCGCTTCACTTATGATCATTAGGATGTGCAGGAGATAAAAAATACTTGGAAGTTGAGCCTGAGAGAAATATGCCGAGAAAGCATTCTTCTATCTTAAAAAAGGAAAAATTAATTGTTAGATTGCTTGGGATATTTTATATTTTACATCCCGTCTAAAAAAATTTATTTTCTTATTTTTTCAATCTTCAAGTGCTATAATAATTACTAAGATTAACAGCCCCTCTTCTACCCGGCTACTCGCTACTAGTAATATTGTTGTGATTCACCTGCATGTCGGGCATAGCTATATTACGTCCAGAGATCCTGAAATGGATGTCTTCGACAGGTGCCTTTTCGTTTAATGTACGTGGGCCACTTCTTCAAAGAATGCTCAGACGGCCATTCATTTTTTCACGGCATTCTGCAAATATTCCTGTCAGCAGGGTCAGCGAATAATCTGCCCACTGAGTTTTGATTTCCTTGCGCAGTAGTAATGAAACCTTTTACGCTTCTCATTCGACGGTGAGCCCACTGTGATCACGATGAGACGTTTCAAGCATTATTCGTTCTGCAGCTTGCTGTGCCTGAGCCAGCGCTTTCTCCTAAGCTTTTCTCAGTGACTACGTTCC